TGCAGGCTTGGGGCGAAGCTCGAAACACCCGTCTGCGGTGTGTTTTGTGTGGTATGTGGGGGTTTAGGGGTTTAGGGGTTTAGGGTTTAGGGGTTTAGGGGTTTGGGGTTTAGGGGTTTAGGGGTTAGGATTTCGCCAAAATATGTACAAAGGTACTACAGATTAGGGGGGGGTGGGGGGTTGTTGTTAAGCGGGTGACGGGGGTTGTTCTTAGTGTCTTTGCCAGACTTTATTTACAATCGGCACTGGTTCAGATCTATGTGTTCAGCCCTTCTACAAGATATCCCCACTATTTTCCTATATACATATATATATATGGATATATATACTATGCTATATGATAGTTTCCTTTTTCTTTTCCATTATCCCAATATAGCCCCAATATTTACTCTGCTGAATATTGCAGTTTCCATTTTGCATCAGGGCGCCTCCAACCGTAGCTGCTGCTCTTGTCCAGTTCTAAGAAGATCTCGGATCTGCTCATTGTAGATCCTTGGTGAAGTACTGCCCCCACCCGGTAACAGCTGACAATAGGGGAAATATAGAGGGCTTAACTTGACATAGTGCAACTGCTGGAGGGCTCTGTGATATGCAAATACATGTGAATCCATATACGAGGGTAGGATCACATACATATATCTATACATATATATATCATTCTGTATACATATGTACGAATACATGTTTACACATCTGTTTGTTTGCTTTCTTTCAAGTTTTACTCATTTATGTTTCTAGTTGTCTATCTGTTCATTCACTTCTAGGTTCGCGTTTTTTATACACGTTGTAAATATATGTACATCTTTGTCAATATGATGAGGGTATACATGTGTAGGTGAATATTACTTGTAAGGGCGTGCTTCGCTATGATCTTGATCAATTAAGCCATTCCAGCCGGTCAGGCTCAGTATCGTCACAATCGCCAAGTAGAATCCCTCACATGCCTCCAGCCCCTCGGGATTTTCGTGAATGCTAAGAGCCTTATATTCAACCCTAAAAGTCCAAGTGCCCAAATAATGGGGCATTGATTAGGTGCCAAAAGCCTAGCTGGGGCCTGAAGCCTCATCATTTGAGCGATTGTCTAAACTCCTGGTATCCCCCTTAACAACCCCTTCTAGTAGCCTCCTACATAATCCCCTACATAACCCCTATAGCTCGTTTGGGTACTTGGACTCTCTGGGCCAGGCAACAAATCCCGGAAATCCTTATTTTCAGGAATTCCAGTCGGAGACGGAAGGACTAGAATCACATAATTTCCTAGGGTCTAAAATGCCCAGATAATGGGATTCTGGGTCCCGATTGCTAGAATCTGGATTTTGGTACCCAGTAAGCATTTACGCATCTGGACTCTTCGGGTTGCCGAGGAAGCAAGTAACTGGCACTGTATGACCTCTACATGCCTCTCGTGCGCCTTGTGCATGACCCCTAGAAGCATATACGCCCAACCCTGCAACCTGAAAAGCCTGCCCCAGAACTGCTTTGCACCGCCCCCTCAGGTTCGCACTCTAAGTACGAGATGGTTGTCGCGTACTCGTCAGGAGCCTTGACTGAATGAAGCTGCATGTGTGCTGTGGTGTTACCAAGCAACATGTATTCGCCTCGAACAATTGACAGATCCTTGAGAAAATGTGATGTTAACAGCCGACTAGGCTGCCAAGCATTTATAAAGAGAACGGCTCCCAAGGCCGAGAATCCCACACCAGTGCCTTCTTAAGTCACCTAGCTAGAGCCGCACGCAAGCCATCTCAAAGAAAGCAAGGCTCATTTCCATGAATGTCATGCTTCGCTACGAGTACAGCTGCATGGACTCCAGAAGGCCCCTGCTATTTTTTTGCAGGCACACGCGTGCTTCAACATGGCTTCCAGGCACCAGTGTTCTCTGAAAGGCCACCTCGAAAGAAATTCAACCACAAAACGCTCAATGAACCTAACGTAACTGCCTGATAGCAAGTGTTGGCAATCTGAGGAAGCAGCTGACCCTACTAAAACTGAAATATGGCAGAACGGTGAAGCCCTGATGAAATGTTGATGCAAGTAAAGGTTTCTCCCCTCCCAATTTGTTCCCAAGGGGCTCTTTCAATGGTCTTGAAGATGTCCTAATGCAGGACTAAACTCTGAACCCAAATCTTGTTCATCATGGTGCACCATGATGCGGCAACGAAAGACCGTGGTCTCAAACTTCTCTCCATTGAGGGCAGGATTCCCTTGTGCCAAGTTGTGTGCACTATGTCTCGCTCAGGCCATACGAAGCCAACAGCATGACCTAGGATGGACAGCTGGCATAATCTAGCATAAGTTGCCGCCTTGCAGTGTAACAATTTGCGGCGCTCTTATGTGGCAAGTAGCACACTATACTTTGATACCATATTCTCCAGGTATAATATACTTAGGGTCTTGCAGGATTTAATACCAACCCTAGTTTGCGGCGAACAACACAGCCCTGTTCTGTCCTCGACGATGCGGGGAAGGAGCCCGCGGCTCTCAGGAGGAGTCTCACTGCCCAGCACGCTGTAGGTTTTCCCACTGCCTCTTGAGCAGAGTAACTCTGAGGAATTGGAACCCCAGTAGAAATTATAATTTCAGCTAAATATTAGGATTCTAGGTAACAGAAATTAAAAATATTTTCAGGAACCTTGTAGGTAATGTCAATAGCCAATAATACGTGACAGGAACGATATCATCCGCAATTCGTATTGAATTCTTAACTTAATAATTAGTGCAGAAATAAGTCGGGTCCTTCATGTCTTAAGACTTGGGGCTTCATCGGAGGAAGGGCATCCGAGGGTTGCAAGAGCGGGCATCAAAGATGCACAACAGTGGGAATCTCTTCTTGCATGAAGGATGTTCGAAGCATGCCACTACCATGTACTCTTCCTCCCTGTGTACTAGACCGCAGGGGCAGTCAATGGCCTAAAAATCCAAGGGGCTGCCTGAAGGTAGGATTTTGGGTTTGGGGCTTGTGGGAATAGTGGAGGAAGCATGGAAGAGCAAAGAGGCTATGGGCCAACTCATCTCGAATCTTGCCCCCGATGTGGAACCCCACTTACCCAACTCTAAAGCCCAACCCCAACTAAAGTGGGTACTGAAGATCCTGCATGACCCTAGGCACCTTATACCTAGGGATTCCTGGTACTCTTGTATTCTCAGGCCATGCAGGATTTTTTGTCCTAAGCCCTGAATTCTAAACCAATAATATCCGCAGCCCTGTAAAGGAGCTCAGAGCCACACCGGTTTGGCCGTAGGCAAAGAGGCAGCTGTTGTAGCCATCAAGCCTTAGAGGCCCCCTTAACCAAGACCCGTGATTAATAAACCCCCTCCCCTTAATAGGGATTATAGTAGGGATCCTAATGGGAGGGGGTGTATTAATCATGGGTCTACATTAAGTACATAGAACCATGGGCACATGGGTTCTCATTCAGGTTTTATTTTAAGGAATTCCACATTCTATCTACTTCGGGGGGGGCCAGAGAGTCAGCAGCGAGAATGGGGTTCAACTCGCATACAGTTACGGCCATGGGGGTACATACATGAGGTGGGCACAGGTACCATAATGGGGTACATATTCGGGAATGATATGAGGGTGTGGCTAGGTCTCATCACTTCGCGTGAGGCTACATCTCCGCAGGGGCACCGGGTAAGATAAGCAACATTACCCCAGAGCTCCGTTGGCACGGGCCGATCAAATGAGCGTGATATCTGTGCCACCGGTCCGGACTAAGCACCAGATAGCTGTTGCATCCTAAGTCCAAGGATACCCAATTCCCCTGCAAGCAAATTGAAATCCTCGGAACGTAGAGAACCCAACGCTAGCTGCAGGAAAAAGGAAACCATGGCAAAGAAGTTTCCAAGCACAACAAACTAATTCTGTGCTTCGTGATTCTTGCAGCATGTAGTAGTTCCCTAAATAAGGGGAGAATCCTTATTATAGGGTATTATAGGGACCCCCAAAAAGGTACCCACTATTTAGGTCACGTCACACGTTGCTTCGCAACTCATGGCCGAGATCATCCATCAGGTGCTCCTGCTACAGGGAACGCTGAGAGATCTGTTAGAGTAAGTGAGGTTTAGGGTTTAGGGTCGTGGGGACTTAGTGAGTAGGTTAATACTGGGCATAATTGGGGTTATGATATGGCTCATAGTGGTTTAACTTACTTACTAAGTCCTCATGACCCTCCAAGTAGGCAGACGAAACTGCAACCAGCGCAGGCCAGTACATAATCCATCTGCCCGAGCATAAACAAAGTCAGCAGATGGGGGCACTTCAACCCAAACAAACATAACCGGCAACTTTTAGACTATAGTCCTCCATAAGTAGATGGAATATGGAGTGTATGGGACTCCTACTATGATATTAGGCACTTCCATATTCTATCTACTTCAGGGGGAGTATAGTTCTCTGTCAAGCGATGCTTGCGCGCAAGTTGAGCGCCTCCGGACACCACTTACGGATCCCAGGATGCGCTTGCGGATAGGCATGAATTACTGGTTCTTAGCAGGGAAGAAGGGTTATTTAGGGATTATATTCCCTCGTTTCCTACTAGAAGGGAATAAGGGAACCGAGTATAGAGGGTTTATTTAGGGACTATATTTCCTTATTCCCTACTAAAAAGGAATAAGGGAACAGAGTATATAGGGTTTATCTAATGGTTATATTCCCCACGAAGAACCCGTAAGATGAAGGTCCCAGCCAAGCAAATCTGGCAGACCAAAGGAATCTGGAGAACTTTTGTGCATGTTTAGGGTTTAGGGAGCCCATACATTGGGTTAGGCCCCCACCCAACAATAGTGGCATACTAGGAGTATATAGAGGCCCTAATATGATTAAAGTTGTCTCTTGTGATCACTATTAGTGGGTGGGGGCCCAACCTAGCCATACAGCCATCTGAACACCTAGGCGAAAGGACTTGGAGGGTCATGGGGACTGAGTTATCGTAGGTAGGGTTTAGGGTTTAGGGTTCACTGAGTAAGTAGGTCAATAAACCTTACAAACCATATAATAACCTAAGCTATCTCCATTTTTAGCCTGCTTACTAAGTCCCCATGATCCAAGTACTTGGGACTTTGCATTGTTCTCACAATCTGGGGGATCTTTGTAAACATAAGGAGTTCTACGATTGCTGATAAGTATAAGATTGCATTCTCTCCACGGGTGCAATACTTGTAGGTTCGTAGGACCCAGCGACTATGTAGAACTGGGCTCATAACCCTCCTTATAGCCTCCCCAACTGGTCTTGTAGAGGTTACCCCACTTGTGAGTATAGTTCTTGGCCCAGCTATATGCGATTACACTGTCCCATGAACCTCCCCGTGGAAAAAGGAGGATATGATCATAGCCTATACTGAGGACCATAGTAATCCTCATTTCAAATCCCATATTGTACGCCGCGATTTAAAGCACTACTCACTTGCACCCGCTGCTTTCAGCCCGCCTGGGACACATAGTGGGCATCTGCTTCTTTAGCAGACCTTGTCACTTGCTGGCTGTCTGTAGGTTTATGGGGTCTAGGTTTTGGAGGTATTTTGCTGGCTAAGGAATGCATGGATGAATGGTAAAGACAATGGAGGTTGAAAAATGTTGCTACCATATGATTCCATTCCTCCGCTCCCCGCTCACAACCACGAAGGTCACACGAGCCAGCGAGCACAGACTGCAACGACATGGTTTCCCATAAGTATGCCGAGCAAAAAAAAGATATGCCCCAATACGGGATGTCTCTATGCAAGGGTTGCTGGACAACTCTGCAAAGTTGCCAGCTTATGCTATACCGCCACATCACATCCACGATTCCCCTCCTGCGCACAGGGGTAGCGTTGGAGCCCGATAGCTTTCAAAGATGTGGCTGTGCAAGTCTCGCGGCCGAAGGATGCCTGGATAGACATATACACCCGACTGAGTCACCTTGATTCAAGGATCCAGATTTCCTGAATGATAGAAAGCTTCAGCACACACAACGCGGTGAGAGTCAACACCCCGAGATGAGGTCTAAGTTGACCCATCTGACAGTGTAGGATTCCTAGACCCTAAAGCCCTAACCCTATTCATCATCACTCAGACCAGGGACCAGTAGGCTCGGTCGAAGGCGAAAGTCCTTGTTGCCGTAGGGCCGGTGTCCAGTGGATTGGTCAGATTTACCTTTGATGCGTCAAGGAGGTAAGCGTGGTAATTATCCGTGGGGTCATCTTTACAAAGTGTAGTCGCAGCCCCTTTTGCCAGGCCATGGCAATTCTGACCAGGATCCAAACTGACAACCCAGCAAAAGACAAAACAAACCAAATGCCTTACACAGCATTGGCGCGGAGGTTGCGGCACAGCTATGTTCAACTAGGTCCAACCGAAGTGTCTAGCTCGGCAGCATATGCTTTAATCAGTGTGTCTCGTAGCAAACTTTTCAAGATATTGGGGGGGGGGGGGGGGGNNGGTCCAGAAATTGGGGTACCAGTTTGGCATCCACACAAGCAGGACTACAGTATGTTGGGGTCTCGGTCTGGCTATTGGCTGAAGCTACCTTGTTGCAGAGACGGAGGTCAACCACAACTCTACCCCTTACGTCACATACTCCACATCTGCAGAGTCGAAATATTTTGGCTTTTGAAGCCCTACTTTACTGAGAGTCCAGTAAAGGGATAATGGAGTCCTGGAGAATCAAATGAACAAGTACATGGAAGATGAAAAAACTGAGGTTACGTAGTGGTTCGCTGGGATAACTCGCCTGCAAGATTCCCACCCAAAATCCCGTCGCCTCTCAGCCCAAGGAACTTCAGCCAACTGGAAACATTGATTGATGTCTGGTATGGGCATCAACCTAATTTCAAGTTGGCCCTTGATATACTTGTTGAGAAGCTCTGAAGTACGGGCGGGGACTTCACAACCTTCTGTGAGTGCAGCACGGTACCGTCGTGGAGTATGGACTCTGTGGCAAGATCCGCACGCACCTGGCCGCAAGGAAAGTTGAGCACATCGCTAAACATGCTTCTGCTATTTGCAACAATTCAGCTACTAGGGCTGCTGCTGCTGCTGCTGCGATAACCTGTGCTGGAGCTATTTGCGTCAACTGAGCGGGCAGGAAAATCTCTCTCCCTTTCTCCCCACAACCCTCAGCTCCAGCAAGCCGAATAGGAGAAGCCTATCTCAGCACTCCTGGAATATCGAATGTCACTATAATCCCCCTTAAACAGAATGGAATATGGCTTTGGGTAAATTGTAAAAAGATCCCACTATACCCCATATTCTATCTACTTGAGGGGGGCTATAAGTTCTCATGACTGCCCTAATGTTCTGAGTGGATAGCAAAATCATCTGGCACGATGCCCAATCCCAAATTAGTTGCTGGATGACCCATTTGAACCTACTTGCTATTGTGGAAATCTGAACCAACGGGACAAGGCACATCTTCTCGCCATTCTCCAACCTGCATTGTGCGTGCTGGGCATCCCTGTGAAAATGTGCTACAGCCTTCGTGTTTGTACTGTAATCCTCTCCCCTTGAAATTAAACCCTCACCTCCCCCACCCCTAATATTTGATACTCCCGACATATTATATTATACCAAAATGAGGAGTATTCAATATTTGGGGGGCGGTGGGTTTAATTTTAGTGGGAGAGGATCAGCGTGGATTGTCCACACAATGCTACGGACATTGACACTGAATCTGTGAGTCAGGCCCGGCTTGCACGGCAGTCGGATGCTTCACTCACAAAATTCTGCGAGTCGCTTTAAATGCCCTTCTCCTTCCGCAAGATTGCATGATTTTGGGTGGTCCAGCTTTTTCCATACTCAAAGGATTGTTACCTGCAAATAGTAAGTGACCTATGCCCCCCAAAGTTTGCTCACCAACTCAAAGCCGAAGAGCTCCGACTTGCCTCAGATTGACGAGAATCCAACAGGAAGTCAGCAGGTCTCTGCAGCTAGCTGCAGCTAGCTAGTCGTAAGGAGCCTGCCAAAATCCTAAACCCTACACTCCTACATCCTAAGAAGTAGCTCCCATTTTCTTTTCAATTACCCCTACATCCCCTATATATTATACCCCTATATCGACCCCAATATACTCTAGCCATACTATGCAGCCAGGCTTTGGGACCCAAAGTTCCGAATGCTGCTGCCGACTTCCACAAGTCGCCTTCAGCCTAAAATGCGGTTGGAAATTGTTATAGTCGAATGGGGAGTGTCCAATATTCCTCCTCCCCAAAAGGATGCTTTTCCGCACTTTTGCGGACCTTTCGCGCGCACCATTTGATTGAGGTTTGCAATAAACGTTATCCAAACGCTACAATACACGACATGACAAGTGGTTCGGACTAATTCTCGCGACCCGCTTGGCCGCGGTGCTTTCGCGAGCAACCTTTTTTGCTTCATGTGTCCATGAGCTTGAAAAAGGGGGGGGGGCAGGATTTTGGACTACCCGCATATGGTAGTAACTGATAGTAATTTTGGGGGTACCAAAGTCCCCATGTTTGTTTGGGCTTTGAACCCTCAGCCACGTTTGGAAGAGTAAGGAAGTCCAGGAGCAAGTCAAACACAGGCCCTGGAGGCTGTCAAGTTCGTTCCCATCATAAGTGAATCTTGAAGAGTACTTGGGGGTTCGATTTGTGGGCGGACCCTAAATTTGAGCCATACCCCTACGCAGACCCCTGGGAAGATCCTGAAACAAGAACCCCCAATATGGCCACCAGTGGTACCCTATACTCACATACAATTGGGTGATTTTTGGGGAACACTTCAGGGAGATCTACCTTGCAATTCCTCCCAGTCCCTGTGTAGTCACCGAGAACTGACCTTCAGCTCTGTTGCTCAGGGGCCGCACCCGGACGCAGACTTTGATTGCATCTCCAGGAGCAGGCGTGCTTGGCGTGCCCTTGGTCCATTGCTATACCCGCCCAAGGGTCCAAGCCTAAGGCATATGTACGAGTATCATATAAAATTATGAGCTACAGCTATAGCCAAACCTCCCTGTAGCCCCCTTAATAGCCCTATAATGTTCCCCTATGTACTCCTCTATATAACCCCCTTCAAGCAGTTTAGACTGTAGCTTGTATCGTACACAAACATTGCAAAGGACAAAACCTGCACTACCGCCTGCAACTATGAAACTTCAAAACCTTCAAAACCATCATTTGAAAGTGCCCTATGTCACCCTAATATAACCCCTATATAACTTTAATATCACCCTATAATATCACGCCTGTATAACCCAGGCATCCCTGCAGCTGTTGTTCGCAACGTTCCTGCCCCTGTATCTTTATTGGGGTTAGGTTGGGATAATGGAAAATAAGACTTAACTACTACTTAGGGACTTAGGGTTTAGGGCAACTTTTTGCAACTCCAGCTTCGGGGGTGTCGGGCGCCTGGATAAAGCTGGAGCGGAGCAGAGGAAGCGACACAGTCGCCTCTCCAGTTGCAGGAGAAACATGAGAGGATAATGGGTCTAGGGTTTCTAGGGTTTAGGGTTTGTAGGGTTCAGTGTCATAAGGGTCCTTGTTCAGGTATGTCTAGGAATTATGATGTCTCGCTGTCTCGCTGCGGGGCAAATATGCACACCAGGCCTCCAACATTAGCTGCTGCAATGTCGGGGGTGCATTGCAGTCGTTGAAACCCTACATCGCCCTTCTCGCTGCTGAAGGGCTCACAGAATCAAGCGTTACGTGCACATGCAACCTACTTGGTCTGAATTTTTTACGGACCTTTCAGTTCAGATGCCTTGCTTCTCTGCTTGGGCCTCTGAAGGCGGGCAGAAGTACTTGCTTTATGCCACCATGTGTCTTCATAGTTGAACTGGAGCCAAACGGCTGCAGGAAGAATTCCGTTCCTTCCTGGCTATGTTCAGGGCATACGACGGTGGCTCATCGCTTGGAACCTAGTCACTAGTCTGGGTCTGTCGGCTTAGTGAATATGTCCTCGAACCGAGAACGGGCAGCCTCACCTTTTGCAGCGCAGGACCCGTCTCTAAACTCTCCTGTACAAGAGCACGGCCCTCTGAAGCGGAAAGCGCGCCATCACGCGCTAAAACTGTTGCATCGCATCCGGGTATCGCCGAAGTGCTGGCAACTGAAGAGCTCACCCTTCCTTGCGCAATGTGACCATGTCACAAACAAGGGGTTCAGATGTCATGGCTCTAGGAACGGCCTCCTGAGAAAAGGCGCCTGATCTTCAAACAAAAATAGCTCCAGTACGTGAGGGCTATGGTTCTGGGAACTGTGCATCATGGTGGCGATAGTTGCTGGACATCTTACGCGAGGTAGGCACCATGAAGATTTGCGAGCGTCACTTGAAATTCTGGACCCCCGGCACACAGGGGGGACCCCGTAGCATCCCAATCCACACGGTAGGTTGAGCCAGGTCACGCGGGCAGCAAGACGCTCCTCCGCTTTCTCCGCCATCTTCCGAAGCTTGAAGACCGCCGGTTTCCAGGCAGGCTCCTGCTGAAGAATGCCGGATCAACTTGCTAGCAAAAATACCTGCGTGCGTGGGGAGGAGGCTTGGTGTGGTGCTGTGGGGGCGGGGATGGGTTTGAGGCCTAGCTGTCTGTTCAAGCACGTGCATGCTGCAAGAACCACTAGTGTGTGATGATTTTGCATATGTGAGGCACATGCCACCAGCCCTTGCTACTCAGCTGGTACGAATGGAGTCGTCGCCGTCGCCGTCATCGTGGTTGTTGCTACTGCTGCTGCTGCTGCGCCTGCTACTGCTGTGTTGTTTTAATAATCCTCGTCCTCATAATACTAGTATTACTAAACGTACTAGTAGTACTAGTACTAGTACTAGCACTGCTAGTAATAGTCTCCGGTTGCGTTTGTCACGGTACATTTTCGTGGCATCGCAGGACCCAAGATGCTGAGCACTCCTGGGTTTCAGATGGCCGCAGTTGCCCTGGAACTTTCCGGGGCCTTTGACGCTAAACACGTTTCAGCATGTAGAAACTTAAATGTCTCAATCGTTGATATTATTGGCCCCAGGCAGAGTCAGCGATGAAACGATCCCTTGTGAAAGCTCACAATGGTGGCAAGCAGCGGCACCATTGCGTTGCATGCGGAATATGCGACCACAGAGTACAGCATCAAATCAGAAGTCCTCACACCCCTGGACTAATGGGGCGAACCTTGGACTAATGGCGCGACGATAAAACTACATCAGAACTTCTCACACTCTTGGACTGATGGGGCGAACCTTGGACTAGTGGGGCGACGAATAATGAGAAAAAGCCACCGGGAAGCCTACTTGAAAAAACGCGTTAACAATAAAATCCAAAATATGCCCGAACGCGCTATAAAATGTACAAGCAACTCAGACCAAACATACTGGGCAAGTGGATCAAGCAAGAAAGTTCCAGGAGGACTTTGTTCAACAATCGCGCGAAGCCCCAGTTTCAGTAGGGTGAAGTGGAGAAAATCACACGGTCATAAACGCGACCGTTAATTCAGAGCTGCCCAATTAGGGCTTGCGAGAGGTAAGGGTTGAGAGCTTCTGGCTGAAAGACCATGCTGATAGAGTTGATAGAAGTGAGATGTGAGATTTCAGCGCAACACGCTGCCGCTGTTGCGGTGACTGCATTGTGCACTGGTTACCGCTTGATTCAACCGGTCTGGGAGCTCTAAGGCACGTTAGACTTTCGCATGTGTTTTGCTGCTTGCTCTGTGAAGCAGGACTGCACCCCATCAACCGGGCACCCAGATACTCCTTGAATGATCGTGCTATGTTCTCCCGAAAAAGATCTTGGTGCATCGCAAACGTCTCCTGAACTGTAACATCCAGCTTTGCTTGAAGCCGCTTTGCTGCATCGCGCGCAAGATAGGCAAAGGGCTGGACTTGCGCCTCGACAGGGTGGGCTGATAATGGCTGTGATATGGAGATATGGGGCTCTCCTGCCGTCTTCAGCTAGCGCGGCAGGCGTGCAGACTGTTAAACACAAGAACTGAACAAAGCTTGGGTAGAGGCAGCG